TCTTTGGAGCACTTTTCCTCCACTCAGCCACCAACCCATTGTAATACGGCATTTTACCGTACTCAGCCTCAATTTCTTGGAGAAAGTCTTTGAGGGTTCTGTGATCAAGGCCGTTGGCTCGAATAAAATTCACTGCGCTTACTTCTCTCGTCATGACACTTTCCAATACCACTTTGCGAATTATGCAGTTCAATTCAATCAGCTTTGAGTCACACCATTGAATGCCTTGACTTTATGACGCAGCTTTGCCACTAGACCGTTAGGCCTCCCAACCATACAACGGTGTACTAAAATCAACCGAACGTTTGCTATTACATCTTTATTGCTTATTCCACAATAGTTTAAGCACTTCCCCCTCAAAGTAGTCCCCCGTACTGGCAGTACACCGTTCCTAGCGACGCTTCCATTTTAGAAAGCGTACTGGAACGCACTTTCTGGGACGGCGCGCAGGTCTCTTGTCGCATAGTCCTGAATCTCCTCTATGATTTGAAAACGACGTTCATTCAACTTGGTTTTTTAATTTGGAAAGCAGGAAAAAGTCTGCAGGGGCTATTTCGGGAGAATACGGTGGATAGGGCATAACGAGAGTGTGATGTTTGGCTAGAGAGCTGCGAACATGGAGGAATGCATGAGCCGGCACATTGTCATGATGCAACATAAAAGTATGGTTTTCCCACAGTCCAGATCCTTTGCTGCGTGCTACAATATGATGGTATAAGCCTACGTTGATGCGCACTTCGTCAACAACTCGAACAGCGATATCCACGTATCACAGCACGAACTCTGTCGTCAGGGTCCTGGTCTGTTGATGTGGAAGGTCGTCCAGACTTGTGACCGTCACTGACCGACATTCTGCCGTGCTCAAAATATTTAAACCACTCCAAGAACTGCGTGCGACTCATACAGTCCTCCCCGTCTACCTGGTTAAGCCATTGAAATGTCTATAAATGTTTTGCCAAGTTTTTAGCAACATTACGCACAAGCCATATCCTTTAAGCTCTTTCATTGTCTCTTTGGTACACATCCAAGAAACAGCTTGTGCACGTGTTCACTACAGCGGCTGTAGCTCCCCAACAAACAGTCAGAGCGAAATGTGGCAAATGGCAGTTTGTTGTCTAAGCAAGCCTCCACCTGCACTCAGTAGCTGCAGTGCGCTCCCTCTGCCGCTTATCTCGCTATTTCAGAAGTTCCGTTTCTTTTTGTACACTTCTCGTATTTTTAGCTCTGTCTCTGGTCACTCCACACAACTTTATCCACGGCACTTTAATTTCAGTACTAGTTAGACTGACCGCACCAAAGAGCTCTGTTGTCGTTTTGCCATGAAACTTTTTCAGTGATGCATCTTTTTCGGTAACTTTGAAAGCATTGCTAATTGCGCTAATGAAAGCTAGCAACTGTGAAGTGTCGACTACATCTGTTGACTCATCAAATGCTGTGTAAAATACTTCAAACTCCGTTGCTTTGTCCAGTAGTTCGTCAACAAATCCCGTCCTATGTTCTCCACATGTCTCGTAAATGTGCAACTGGAGATGCCGACGGCTTCAAATCTCGATAATAGCCAGCAAACGTCTTCACAAACTCTCCACCTTGGAAAGGTTTGCATGCCATTCCAAGGATGTTTGCAACACGATAGCTTGCTTTTATGGCAGCCACGTTTTCTTCTGATCGTTTGATAAACAATTGTTTCAATCTACTAGCCTCTTACTACAACATAGCTCTTTTTCTCATTGATGTCGATCCGCGAATTCGTCGATCGTAACGTTGTGTTTTGTGCTGGATTGGATTGCCTCTTCATATTATGTCCCTTCAGAACGGCGACTGTTTCCTTACATGTCACACAATCGCCTTGCCGTTATCTTGAATAAAAGGATAAGCATTTATCCATCTTCAAGTGTCCTTCATTTGGAGTCCACTTTTCGCTTCTTTTGGCAACTCATTGTGTTCGCTACAACCGTTCTACACACTCAAAGAACTCTGGAATTACGCTTTGTCTCTCCTTTGCAATTTTACACAATTATTCATAACAAGTGCCCTGCACCTTTTGCGTCAATCCCTGTTTGATGGTTACCTCGGTAGTAATCCTGCTTCCAAGGTTTTCGCATCCATACTACTCCGTAGACTTCCCCCTTTCGTGAATCGCAGTACCGGGAAGTATAAGCTGGCTTCCGTTTTGGCCATGGTTGCGTGGATCAAATATTCACGCTCCGCCAAATCCTCGAACACCGCTACCTCTACCGCAGGCCTACCGTCGTTACATTCTTAGATATCCGTGCTGCATTCGATTCGGTTGATCGACGTGCGCTGTGGCGTTGCTTGCTATGGAACGGAAATCCTGGAAAAGTACACCGCCATCTTACGCACACTCTACCTTCACATCTTCGGCAGTGTGAGAGTCCGTGACAAACACGTCGTCAAGCGCTGTCAATAGCGGTGTACGACATGGCTGCCCTATGTCCTCTTTTCTCTTCAATTTCGATTGAAGACGTCTTGTCGAGAGCTTTGGAAGGTTGTCAGCATTTTGGACGACAGCTACTGCTGGGCAAGCGAGCGACTGACTTAGATTATGTCGATGACATCACCTTACTTGGTGACGACTCACAGAGCATGCAAGCCATTCTAACCTGTTTGGCGATTGAGGCATCTGAGTTTGCTCTATGCTCCGCCACATGGAAGTGTAAAGTGCTTCTCCAGGATTGGCACTCACCCGTTCCTATGTTCACAGCTTGGACAAGCGGATAGCTTTGTTTACCTGGGCAGCTGTGTGTCTGCAGGTGGTACCATTGCAAATGATGTTTTTCTTCGCGTCGCCAAAGCTCGGTCGGCGTTTGTCAACCTGCAGTACTTGTGGCGTCGTCGGGATGTCTCCCTCTTGGTATAAGGTCGTGTGTACGCCGCCACTGTTTGGGCGGTGTTGCTATATGTCAGCACGTGAAATCGTGACTTCACGTCTTGCTGCCGTTGGATCCGCACGCCTGCCTGGTTTGGGACCAAGCTACGAAGAGTGCCGATGGTTAGAATCCATACAAGATATGATGCGTATTCGAAACCAGTGGAAGATTTGTGTACGGACTTATTTAGTTTCAGATGTCTGATGCTTAACAATTCAAAAGGACAAAATAAAGCAAAATGGCGTGTGAAAAAATAACAAAAACAGTTCCGTTTTTCCTATGGCACAACAACTGAAGTGTGTTGCTCACCTTCAACAAATGCGCCATGCTGATGTAGTGATTGAACCTGTTTTCTTCGAAGATTTCCAAGGTTTTGTTTGTCTCTATATCTGTTCGTTAGATTGTTGTCCATATATTTGTATACTTGCAACAGTCTACCAATAGACATGGAGCCATCAAAAACCATGGAACTCAAAGGAAGCTGCAGAAATCGTAAAAGAAAACCCAGCACAACACAGATGAGTCCGTGGTTTCGTCAGAGCTCAAGATACTACCCGTTGCCCATGCCTCTAGGTAGGGTGTTGACTTAGTGGACACCACTCCGAGCGTTTTTATCGAAAAGCCTGCCCGTAACCGAGCAAATTCAGGGAATCACGCTCATCGGGAACTGGTGAATGATTGTTTGTGTATGATTGATTGTTGTCCGTTTGCCAAACAGAGGCCCTTATGCTCCCCAAAATTTCAGCATTCAATTGCTGGAATACAATGCTTCGCCAGTATGAAGCAAGAGGCAGTGACTTTATTTAGTGATGAGTCACATCCGCTACGTCACAGTGTTGTTAGGTAGACATATTGGAGAACGCTTGCCATGCGCAAACGCACCACGTCTTGGAACACAGTCGCCGAAGCATTTGCTGGAACGGGATAATCCCGAACCACCCAGCTGGCACCACGAGGTTGTTTGACAAGCCACTACATACAAACATACAATCCTGTTGGAAGGAGAGTTTAATGTAGGATAGGCCAATGATGTTTACACTATTTTTTCACTTAAAAGTACGAGGTTGGTCGATGGTTCGCGGGTCGGATAAAAATGTCTCAGTGGGCCGGATCTGCCCGACGGGCCTTAGCTTGTGCACCATGGTTTGAAGCCTTTAGGTTTTACGCAAGTTTATGCTTCTGTTGGTCTTATTAAGACCCATATTTTAGGCTACTGTGGTTTTACGACGGATAAGTATCAGTTCAGCTTACTGTTGATGATGTGTCCACAATTGAACGATACTTATGCGCCGCACTGCTACTAAACGCATGGGAGCTTGCTGCCTTCACATATGCACCTTGTGTTTCTTTTATGTGGTTTCTGTAAGCTGTATAACCCTTTCTACTTTTCAGAAAATTTTCCTTTGCTCATTTTTTGAAATCGGTTTATTAGTGTAGCATATGCGACTGTGGGAGTCCTCTATGGTCACTAACAGCATATGCAAGTGAGCAGAAACTGATGTGCATCCACCGCGCACCATTCATGGTATCATCGGCCAATTGCTTCTGATGGGATCTTCACTTGCGTGGATAAAAACACTATTATCGTGTTAGACTCGAACACCAATCACACAAATTCACATGCGTTGCACTCCATCGCATTCGATTCGGTACTTCCGTTCTATGTGAGATTCCCATTTGTCACCAGCTTCGATACATGCCCGGGGCTGAAACACCTTGTATTCGCCCCTTTCTGGGCCGTAAAGTTTCTCCTGCTGAAGACTAGTCTTCCCTTCTCTCTTCTGAGTTCGGGTGCGTCGTATGATTAACGTTGTTCGCGTACGTGTTGTGCACGTGTCATACATTCCGAGGTGAAAAACATTAACAATTCGGTATGCATAACGTCCTCGTTTGCTGTGCGGCATTCTTGGGCTGCCTTTCGTAAAATCGACCTCACCCAATGAGGAGAACCATGCTTTCGACCTTAAAATATTTTATTTGTTTATGTGATAGGCGCTTGTACAGATTTTGGTAATATCTGCCACACCTGGTAAATTCGCTATTGTATTCCATTAGTACTTCATTCAACTTTCCGTATGATCGTTTTCGTTTATCTTCCCGTTTCCCTATTAGTACAATCTGTATGCCAGTCACCACAGTTGCAATTCCAGTGCTTCGATTCGTCAACCTGTGTAGCCATATATGATAAATGCAACGGGATTGCTGAATGTCCAGATGGTTCGGACGAGGTTGGATGCTCGCAATGTGAGTTTTGAGTGTAGGGTTTCGCTGTCTCTCTCTCCTATCCCTGAGATTTTAGTGGTTATGTTTTTATGCTACAACTTACTCCTTTGTCCTTTTTACAGTCGCTTCCATTTCCGTTATTTACTTCTTGACACGTAGCTTCAGAACCATTGCCATCATCTGCGCTGGGTCTGCACGCTTCGGCATGTCCTATGCACCTTCAAAGTACGAAGTGCTTTTATAGGACTGTACCGACATACCTCCGGTTCCATGTATCACCGAACAACCATTGGAAGTGATGGATCGGTTCAGTTATCTTCGTAGCTGTGTCACCTCTGGTGGTCACATCACTGAGGAAGTTACTTTCGGTGTTAATCAGATCCGTGTGCGTTTCCAGAGACTTAACCATCTTTGCAGACGGCGGGATATCAGCTTGTCGGTGAAAGTTAAGGAGTATAACGCTGTGATAAGTCAATGTTACCGTATGGATCAGAGACCTGCCCTGTTCGCAGTGAAGGCATTAAACGCTTAGCCATCTTTTATTACCGATGCTTGTGGAGCATTGCTCACGTTTGGTGAGAACACCGAGTGAGCAATGCTGGGTCTGTCAGTTGGTTTTTGACAAGTAGTCCTATGGTGCTTCTCTCGGATGTTTGATAACTCAGTCGCTTGTGTTGGCTAGGCCATGTCCTCCGTAAGTCCGTTGCTCGGCTTCCTCGGCGTGCATTATACGCCGTGGCCGCACCAAATTCGGCGGCACCACCAACTGGTCAGTCTAATATGTGGCATAGAAGCTTGAAGAAGTTTAATGGGAGACTTTGTCATGCGGGTGCGTGCTGTCTTCGTGGATGCGTGCCTCGGGACGGTGTACCAATGATTGGAGATCTTGTCAGACGTGGCATAGTCACGCAGTCAGTAGCATTCTTGCATCTGGTTGTTAATTTTCGTTCCATTCTGTTAAGCCCACCGCACTCCACTCTTGCTTACATTCTTTCTACATTTTTTGCACCCAACCCCACTAACTTACCCTTGTTATTTGATCAATATTTTATCATGCCTCCGTGGGTTTGCCTCGCATAGTCGAGAATATTTATTTGTTTATTTATTGTTACTCTTATGGTGTGAGTCGTGGCAACTGGATCTACCGCACTTCGCTGCTCTGATCAAAATTTTTTAACTGAACTGAACTCTGCGCTGTGTCATACCTTTTACTTATGCTATATCTGCTGCAGCCACTTGAGCCCTTAAGTGCGTTTGTCCCTCTCGGCCGCCTGCTACTGTGGGTTTTGCCACATTCCTCCCATGCGCTGATGCCGAACTTAAAACTACCGTTTGCGGAAGACTGTAACTTGTTGATTGTGGAGACATTATGTAGTCTTTGCGCTAGTTTCGAATGGTCGTTTTATCACGGAATTTGTCACCACCCGATCGCTGCTTTGTGTATGTCTGGTATACGTGTTTCGCTCAGTTGTCCAGTAGTCGTCTGAGTCAAAGACGCTCAACACAGTACTTAGCAGTGTTACTAGTTCACCCTTTTTTATTTGCGCAGGAGGATATTGCAGAAGCAATTATTCTGGGCTGCTCGTACGCTCGGCTAGGTGATAAGCTTAGACTTAACTCCTAAAGTACGGATAAAGGTGGGTGTTTCTCGCAACTGTGGCTCAGCATTGGCCGTTCCTTATCAACTCCGCCTTCTAACTATGGGCTCGGAGCCACTTCATGTCCTCCTGTGTATGGCCGACGGCTGGCCCAAGTAAATCACGTTGCTACTAGTTTCCGTTTCTTGGTTCCGTCCTTGACTATCACTCGTACTGGAATACGTTCATAGACTATGCCTTGTTGCGCTACCGATTATCCATGAACTTTGCCTTGAGGCTCACGGAACATTTCCCTCACTCGGCAACTGAGATGTTATCCCAGCTCTCAGTCATGCGGGCCTACCAGCGTACCGAGCGTTTTCCCTAAGAGCAACTCGGGAGTCACTAGCCTCAGGTGATTTAGCATTGTTAGGCAATCAGCACACTAGCTTACAAAAGGAACGCTATATGTCTGATTGGGTGCAGTAATTTCAAGATCAGTTCACTTGGTCTCTTGCTCCTGAACTTTTTCCTGCTTAACTGGTACAGGTTGAACCATGTCCAGTTAGTTTAGATACTCTAGGCGATACTGCGTTTCTGAATTTACTCTCAGTCCTCTATCGTTTTCGTGCTAAAGTCCTCGGCCACGCATTAACCCATCATTTCGAACATGTATGTAAGAGAATATCCCATCCATCTAGAGCTAATAAATTTATACCTACCATGTGCAAAAATTGCACTCACATTTTTTTCGCTAAACACATTAGTTTTAATTTGACTCCAGTAGTGAAAAATTTTCTGGCCTCGATTCTTTTCCATCTCTTTATTACGGAACTTGGATTCCGAATCAGGAGAGAGCATGTTGTCTACCTTTTGGACATGGTCGTATTTACCATGTATTCACTGTGTGTCAGGTGCTGAAACGGTGTTACGCGTACCACAAGCTGACTGTAGCTGGATTTCTCGATTTTAATGTTGCACTGAATTCATTAGGTCACGTCATCCTCCATCATACCTGCTCGGAAGTTCTCATTATCAACGGAAGTACCTCCTTAATGTAAACTGATGCTTCGCTGCCGTACACAGAATGGCCCTGATAATAATGACAATTCGGAGGGAGAGTAGAGGGCCTAGTGTAAAAGCTAACTGTCCTAAGCACCACTCAGTTTCAAGGTGCATGCACCATGTAAACAGCAGGTGTGAAACTCAGTCGGCCCTCGTGAGTCGGCTGCTATTCGTTTTCTTATGGGGTTCTCAGTTCTCTAGCTGGAGTTGGAATACATTGCTACACCGGACATTATTAGTCAATATGACTCCGACGGTCTTCGCATCCTTCGGTGTCCCTCAGGATGTTGTAGCAGCTGTTAGATCAGTCGCTGCGCTGGACTTCACAACGGGTGTTTTCATTTAGTTTACCGTCCTCCTGGAGTATTCAGTAGTCTGTGATCGTGTCCCTGCTGCCTTCACTCATATTTATGTTATTAGCCTGTTACAGAACTCAGCTAAGTTCTCCAGAAGGATCTTTACTGTTAGCTCGAAGTGTAACACCAACTTCAGCAATCTAGGATCACATCCTTTGTAATTAGATGACACTGGAAGTAGCGAAGATATTTTCTAGAGAAAGAGTGCTTCACTGATGTAGCAACATTGCTCCCGGTCATGCACCTGAGCCTCTTCATAAGGAGAAGCTTGAGGCTCAGGGATACAGTGGAGAACGACGGTTTTCTTATCATCGTGTTTTCGTTTGCTCTGTTGGTTGTTCGTATTCTTTGAACTTTCCTTCACAGGGATATCCCCTAATATGCGCACTCCGCTTAATGCGTTGCGGAGTGGAATCACAAGAAGCAGAATGGTCTCCGTCTCATCCACCGAATTTTATGTTACTCAAAGTAATGGAGTCTCACTATAGTGCGATGAATTTGGGTGACACACTGTGCGTCTCATTGTAGTAAGTTTAGCATATATATACCGATGGGTCTGCAGATGGGATCCTACTGATTACGATAGTCTATTATCTTACCCTTCATTGTATTCGGGACCATTAGTGCACGCCTTACTGAAAGCACCGTTGTTGCACCTGGTAGCTGTCGGCTTAAGAGTGCTACATTCTGCTGCTTCCTCTATTAGTAGGCGGCACTAGTGATAGTGGTCCATAATGTGACACCTCAGATTTGTCTAGACCGGCAAACGGTGTCGCGGTGTTTTTTCAGGGTTTTCCTGGATGTAGCCGATGTATATGATGCCTAGTTGTTTTTTACTGGATCTCAAGTATGTCAACTACGTTACTTGATGTGACACCCTTAGGGGAGTTGGCGACAAGCAAGCTGTAAACGACTCATCCACTTAGAAGGTGAAGTTCATTAGGACATTTAAAGACTGAGACGCTGAGGTGTGGTTTGGACGCCTGGTCCACTTCTTTGACCTGAAGGGGGGTTTGTAATGGTTTGTTGCGGTGCAAATGTGTTTGGTTTACTTCCGTTGGTGTAGCTCTGACATTCCCCAGTCGCTGCACTGCTTCTGTCAGCTTTTGCCAGTTTTTCATTAGCACAGTCAAACAGGTAACGACCGGAAAGGATTTGCATACCTGACAAAACCGAAGCGTTTCCGTTGTGCTGCCTCGTTTCGGGTGGTGTTGGCCCTACACATTTAGAGTGAAATGATTTAGAGCAGTTAAAGCACCTTAATCACGTATCGATTTAGTTAACAAATAACTCGCATTTACCCCTGAGCCGGACCATGTTCATTGGTAGCTTGCACTTTTGCAGCCTTTCTCTGGTTTTAACGTCAGTCAACTGTCCAATTTTCCAAGGCTCCCAACGATTGTGGGTCTGAGTCACCGCGTCGAATATGTGCGCAGTCGCTGGCTTGGTAAACATGCTTGCTTCAGCAGGTCTACGGATGTCAGCCCTGCCTAGCCAGAAGTCTGTTACTGACGCTGAATGGAAATGATATACACAAAATAAAGAGGCACAAATTTCTCCACAGTCTTCTTGATGAGCACTGTATTGGAATAAGCCTGTTAGCGTTTGTGATCCTCGCGATTTTTGTGTCGAATGATGGTGCGGAGGCGAGGAATTAGCTCAAAAGCGGTAACTTTATATGCGTCTGTTTAAGCATGAAATCTATTTAAAATAGCTGGGTTTGTTGTAGTCGTGAATTGTTAAAAATAATCCCACTTGGGATGATTTAGTGAATCCGATCGGAATGAGCGCACGATGGCTGCGCTGAGTGAACCTCGAGTAGAGAAACTTCGTGAAGAAATGGCGCACGAAAACTACGCGTCCATCTGAAACGAGATGTTGAATACCCCATCTGTGGACCATTCTAGAAAAATATTCTCTGCACGTTTTTGAATTACAAGACGTCGCAGTATAAATTCGCTATCATTTGCAACTTGTACACATTCTTCATGTACTCCGGACCCGGCTACTACAGTTACATTTA